ACTTTAATTTGTAGAGTAGATTTATTTTCTTGCATTTAATTTCTACAATTTATTTTGTAGTTTAGATTTTTATTCTTTGTAGTTAGATTTATTTCTTGTTCATAGTTTAGATTTTTCTTTTCTTTTTATTTTTGTAATTAGTTCTTTTTCTTCTTATTTTTATTTCTTGAGATGTGAAATTAATTCTTGTAGGAATCTTAGAATCGTATAAAACTAGTCTAATTTCCTTTATATTGCATGAATTTTTCTCTTTCACTTAAAATGTTCATGTTTAGGATAATCAACTAGAGAACTAATCGGTAGAAGAAGAATTTGATAATCTATACTTATCTTAAATGGTTTGATAGGTTATGCTTATGAATTCTAGGATTATTATCTTCTTATTGTTCTTATCATGAATAGTAATTTTGACTTAGATGATAATTTGATAGGTTATACTTTCCTTAAATAGTTTGATAGTCTATGCTTAATAAATCTAAGTTGAATTATAATAAAAAGAGAATAGTTTGTATTTTGTAATTAAAATTAGCTAGTGGATTATATTCTAGATTTCTTCCTCTTTTGAATCCTCCATCTTGACTTTCTTAAGCTTTCTTTTCATTCTTGGTTTTATTTCTTGATTTTATTCATTCTTCTTTCTTGCCTTGTGATTTCTATTCTTTGATTCTTATTTCTTTCTCTAAAATTCAATTTATTGTTACTTGCACATAAATAAAAACAACCACTCATCATATCTCTGTCCACAATCACACTTATTCTTTAATCCTATTTTTGTCACGCACACAATATAAGAACCAATTCTTATAATCTCTTAAAATCACCTTCCTCGTGGGATCGATAATTTTTTATACTATAACTTGATCAATTGTGCACTTGCAATTTTGGTACATAATTATACCGCATTATTTTCACATAGAAAGACCTAGTCTTTATACATATAATACAAAAGAATTGACTTTTATTCATAAACTAGTCAATTTGGATCTATAAAACATGTTAAAAACTCTTTAAAAACATTTTAAAAACTAGGAGGGGGATTAGCAGAGATGAACTCGCCTGAGATTTGTAGAAAAACGTTTAAGATGGCAAACCAAAGAAGATCTCCAATCCAAAAGCCAAAAACCACACAAAATCCCGCTCAAACGCCTCCAATCTTTTCCAAGAATCAAGTTAGGGTTTATGGAGGTTTGGTGGCTGTTAGGGTTCTTAGAAAAACTGAGAAAATTCGTAAAAGATTGATATATAAACCAAGAAAAACGAATATGAGCTTTAGAAATCCGAAACCAACTCAAAGGCAGAGAGAGAAAGCTTCTGTAGGTCTGCGGCAGTCGACCTGTGAGCGGCCGACGTCTGCGGTCGATCCGCGGCTGACGGTCGAACGCAGACTGGAATTTCCAGGGCTCCTCATGATATTTTGGCCATTGTAATGTTTTTGATCTTTTTGTTCCTCACAAATGAACTTATTTATACTCAACACACATAGTATCCTAGCTTACATACATTTAACTGTATTTATCAAAATAAAAACTCTAATAATATCGCATAGTTAATCACATATTAATTATATATACTATTTATATATATAGTATTATATATATATTATATTATATATAATATAATATATATATATATAATATTATATATATTATATATATATATCATATAATATATATATATATATCACTAAATTTTTGGGGTTTACATGTCAATCCACTCAGCAACACCATTTTGATGAGGCGTGCCGGGCACGGTTCTCTCCATTCTAATCCCGTGCTCATAGCAGAACTTCTTGAATCTGGTGTCTTCATATTCACTGCCATTGTCGGTCCTAAGCTTTTTTATTTTCAGACCGGTCTCATTCTCGACCATAGCTTTCTATCTCCTGAGCTTCAAACACTTCTGACTTATGCTTTAGAAAGTAGACCCACACTTTCCAAGAGTGATCATCGATAAAAGTCATAAAGTAGTGTTTTCCACCAATGGACGTGGTGGTGGTTGGCACCAAACATCTGAGTGAACGAGCTCTAGCTTCTCTTTTCTTGGGGTTCTGCCACTTGTCTGAAAGCTAACTCCCTTCTGCTTTCCAAGTATGCATTCTTCACACATATCTAAATCAACTGATTCTAGACCTGGGAGTTTTCCCTTTGTGTGCATGATCTCCATCCCCTTCTCACTCATATGACCGAGTCTCTGGTGCCACAGCTTTGAAGTCTCATTGCCTGCTACAACTGAGATCAAACAATATGCACTTACTGTCATATACAGGGTACCAGTTTTCTTGCCTCGGGCAATCGTCATTGCCCCTTTTGAGATCTTCCAATCATCTCCATAGAAAGTCATGGTGTATCCTTCGCCAGCCAACTGGCCTACGGATATTAAGTTCTTTCTCAGGTCGGGAATATGCCTGACATCCTTCAGCTCTCATACTGACCTGTTCAACTTAATTTTCACTACACCTTTACCACAATAGCACACGGTTGATCATCACCAAGGTATACGTATCCAAGAGGTTGTAGTTTCACCCGACTTCCACCATCGGATCTCCTCACTGAGAACCAGATCACGAACGTCATCGAACTTTAACTTGTTGCTTTCCGACGAGCTACTCACTGTCATGACTGTAGCGTTCCAACTCTCTGGTAGGAAAGACAAAAGTATCAACGCCCGAACTTACTCATCAAACTCAATTTCAATTGAACTCAATTGGGTTGTGACCGTATTGAGTTCATTGAGGTGTTGTGCTACTGACGCGCCTTCCGTCATTCTCAGATTGAATAACCACCGCAACAAATGAACTTTGTTTGTGCCCGATGACTTCTCATACAAATTTGAGAGTGCTGCCATAAGACCCGCCGTGGTCTTCTGCTTTGCTATGTTGAAAGTAACATTGCGGGTCAACATCAATCTGATAATACTGAGGGCTTGTCTGTCTAGAAGGATCTACTCATCTTCCTTCATCGACTCCGGCTTCTTCTCCGATAGTGGTTGATATAGATTTTTCTATTATAGATAATCATCTATCTGTATTTTTCAGAATTCGAAATCTGTTCCTACAAACTTCTCAAGTCTTATTTTTTTCCTCATCTATGGCCATGGCTCCCAATTGAATCTGACTTTCTCTAGATCGTTTCAGGCTCTGATACCAGTTGTTGGGCGATTTACGTCGAAACCCCTAAAACACTAGAAACGCAGTATAGAGAAAAGTACGCTAAGATTTAACGAGGTTCGGCAACTGCCTACATCTTCGGAAGTCACACAGTAAATTTCTTATTAATCAAACAAGAAATTACAAAACAGAGCAGATCTTAAACTGAGATCTCTCAATAAATACAAAGGATAACACTGTAGCTACAGTGTCCCTCATAAACTCCCCCTTAATTCCCTTCACCCCTCTTTAATAACCTTCTTAAAGTCCCCCCTCAAATCACTGTTGAAAGCTGAAGAGAGAGAGAGAGAGAGAGAGAGAGAGAGCACAGAGGAGAAATCGCCTCTAGGAAGAGAAGAACCGTCGCCGAAAGATCGTGAGAAGAACAACGATATCGTGCCCTAGGGTTTCCCTTTTATAGGGAAACCCTAGCTGAGCTGTCGACTGGCTGTCGACAGCCTAGATCGCACTCAAACGAGCGCTCAGGCTTGCCAATCCTCCGATCTCGCCTGCAAGTCGCGAGCCCTCCTAGAGTTCGCCAACTCGAACTCGCCTGCTCGAGTTTGCCTAAAGAACGATTCAAGCTCGACTCGCCTGCAGATATGCATCAACCTCACCAACAACAACTCGAGCTCGCCTGCACCTCATCGACTGGATTGCAAGCTCGCCTGAGGGAGCTCCTCTCCTGCTCGAGAGCTCCGCCTGCAACCACCGTGAGCTTCGTCCTCGCTTGGAAAAACTCGCCTGCAAGGTTTGGGCTTCACCCCCAATTCCAACAGGAAAGCCTTGGATTTAGAGAGGCTGATGTTGTGTGCAGAGGCCGCACTAAACTGGCTTAAACAATGTCGAATCATTGTTGCTTAATAAATTTTGGCTTGGGAAAGGAGGAATGAGTCATCAGCAAAAAAGAGATGAGACACTTGAGCCTACCTCCTATTAAATCTTATTGTCTTCCATTATTTTCTACAACTAACTCTAAAATCTTACTACCCAACCTTTCCACGCGAAAAACAAAGAGATATGGGGAGATCCGGTTGCCTTGATGTAGGCCTCTATGTAGTTGAAAGGCCTCTGTGACCTCTCCATTCCATAAGATCAAGATGCGGACAGAAGAAACACAAAATATAATCAGATTGACCCAAGAGATTAGGGAATCAAACAAAGAGAGTGTCTCTTTTAGAAAATCGCAGTTCCTTTACCCTTCATTTTTTTAATCGAATGAATCACCTCCTAAGCAACAACTATATTATCTGAAGCTTGTCTCCTCGGGATAAAGCTGCATTGATTAGGAGCAATAATCTCCTTTAAATATGGGCAAAGTCTTCCAGCCAAGACTTTTGTGATCAATTTGTATAATACATAGCACAAGCTGATGGGTCGGAATTGATTAATATTTTTTTGAACCTGAACTTTTGGAATCAAAACAAAAATATGCATCATCTTGGCAATGAATAAATTGATCACATTCTCTCTCCCATATCGTAATCAAAATTTGTGATTTAAAAAATTGATCTTTCTGCTACTTTTAGAAAGCGTAAAGATCCAAATCCTTTTCATTTTCTGCTAATTCTTAAAAAATAGATTGTGAGTAGACGTGGAAAGGAAAATTAACAATTTTTGTCTCTCACTTAAGTATTTCACTTTGGGTTTTCCCCGGTTTAATTTCACTTGTATTTTCTTCTTTCACCTAGCTAGGGGTGCGAGTACAGTGGATAACACATTGACTAATGGGGACCTAATCCCATTTGTTTGTGTTCTATCATGATTTCCCGAAAAGGACACATTTTCAATCATGTATAAGTATTCATTATTACATACAAATGATCTTGATTTATTTCTAATATAACTACCATCATATCATTTAGGAATGGTACTAATTTCCCATTTAAATTCAAAACATATCATAATTGTTTGTTAAGCGATCATAAATGTTACAACTTGTACATACATATATCCAGAATCTTACAAGATCAAGAGTTTTTGTAGAAAGGCATGATTGTGTATGTTGTCTGGATAACGGTCAGAACCAAGAGGTTAAATGCTGCCAAAAACGAGATGAAAACCCAAGGATTGCTAAGGTAAGTCTGGATGAAAATTGCACGCCACTTATGCCACCTCCTATTGCAGTAATTTTCGATATTCATATTCACATTCTCACTGTGAACATGGATCTTATCCAAGAGAGGCAATCCCTGGGTAAGACGATTGAAGAGGGAAGCAATTTCGCTATCACTTCCAGTCGTACAAGACATTATATTTGCCTTCCTGAGCAGCGCCACATCTTTATCTGTGTCGATAATATTATCCATAAATAAGACATAGTTACTCACTGTATTGTCCGTACCTTTGTGTATATGCTCGTAGGCAGTGTAATTGAGAAACATATTCTCGGTGTTACTGTGGCAGTATAGATGAGGGAGCTTCAGGACTCCGTTTGTGAAGCTGATGTCACTGTAACAGATGCTGTCAGCTAACTTGAAGCTCACCCCCGCTTGGAAGAGCTCTGTGGCGGTGCGGACAGTTAAGTCGCGGTCGTGGATGTAGTTCCCTTCTGTAGTCATTTTCCTTTTTGAAATGTCGAGCAAGTGCAGGCCTTTTCCTCTAATGGTTTTCAGTTCGGTGTCGGGGACTTCGTCACAATTTCTTATAAAGCTCTTGGAATCTTCAACCTGCTGATCAGTCATTTGTTAGCTCTTAGCACTAGTAAAGGTCCAACCCTACTGCAACGTCAAGCTTTCATTTTTATTTCATATTCTAAAAAATCAGTGCAATTCATTGAAATATGTTTTGGACTTCCTACAGAAAATAACGACCATTACAAGTCATGGAGAAAATCAGTCCCAAGAACTAAACATATATCAACTAAATCAATAGTCAAAGTCGCGAAAAATAATAAATACTAGTTTGCAGGAAGTGACCAGGTTACCTCGTGACCTCCAATTTCAATCAAGATAACAAGAAGCAGGAGCGGCAACTGATTTTCAATCCTGCGCATGTCCATCCATAGGCCACGATTCATGTACCGCCTCCAGAGCTCGTCATTGCCCCACACCATCATTTCAATAAAGAAGCATCCATCAAGGATCATCAGATCCAAAAATCGGTCCTCGTCCCTCCACGGCTCCTCCAGGCTATCGTACGCGTCCATGAGCTCCTGAATTTTAGGCCTCAGGGCCTCCCTCACCTCGTCGAGAGTCTTATTGGCCCGCTCAAGGTAGTGGGCGAGAGCCGCGTGCTTGTTGCGCTCCATGGGCTTGAGGTGGGCCTTGCCGTGGTGGTAAGGCCCCAAAGAGACGAGCTGGGGTGTGTAGGCCTTGTCGTTGAGCTCTCTCATGATGTTCGGCACCCTGTAGATGCAATGCTTCTTTCGTTTCTCTATCTCGGTCTCAGAGTTGATACTTTGGAGCTCTTCAAGGTCGATGACCCATTGGTTTTCAGCTGAGTTCTCTCCCATCTTCCTCTTTCTTTAATTTTGAGATGAAAATGATGTTGCTGGTTAGAAATGAATATATAGGTAAGGATGTGCTTCTCGTTGACTCTCATTTTTCTAGTTTTTCATTTTTCTTTTAAGGACTGCAGGATTGGTTTCTTAGTTCCTTCTTCACGTCATGACATGATAGAGGTAAGATGTGCAGTTTGTTGACTATAATCATCTAACCAAATTTGTATAGAATAATAAATAAAAATGAATGCAATCTTAAAAGGCATGATATTATTTATAGTCACAACAAAGAGGTGCATTGTATTGGCTTTAATTTTTATTTGAGAACTAGAGGAACTATATTTTCAGTAATAATCATCTACCAACTAATCCCTTTTTTTTAAATAAGAAATAACATGGAATGCAATTTTGAAAGGCATAATACTAGTTATGGTTAATTAGGACGATTCTGAATATGGTCAGACGATTCTGAATGACAATATGATCTCTCTACCATTCAAATATGAGCCCTATTTCGATGCTGTGATAAATAGTTTTTATTTTATTTTTTATTAAAAGAGCAAAACAGATATTTTACCTAGCATCTTCCGCTCTCCCACATTGTACAGCTCTAGTGCGCAATTTGCCATTCCGATCAACTGGAATCACCCACCAGAAAACCCCAACCGATGCTTTGGGCGAGCACAGTGATGCCGATCATGAGGACGACGACGAAGACAGGACACTGTGATGATGAGGACTGAAATCCGTCAAGAAGGATGAGGATGCCGACGATGGAAACACTTGGCTTAAAATAATTGCTTATTAGTCGTTTCATTTACTTCTATAGGATCACAATAATGGAGGTGAGATGTTAGCAACTTCTTAATGATTGCAACCGCCTCGCCCCGCCAACCCCCCAAGAAAAATTGTGTTTAGGTCTAAAATTTAAAATTTTTGAGAATCCGATGCAACTAAAAGCAAGTTTGACAAGTGGTCAAATTAGCTTATAAGTCACTTTTTTGACTAATAAGACATTTTTTGACATGTTTGGTAATGACTTATGTTGTCTTACAAGCCATTGAAATGAGCGGGGTACCCTACCTTTTTTTTGGTGGCTTATAAGCCATAAGGTTTGACTGAGTAAAAGTCCAATACGACCCTCACATTTCACAAAGTTCCAAGCCCTATTTATCTCTCTCCACCCTCATTAAATATTTTTTGGGTCATTTTGACAATAATGATAGGTTATAAGCCACTCATTTGCCAAACATTCTACTATTAAAAATGGATTATACCTCACTAAATTTATCAAACACTTTGGCTTATAATCCACTTATTTATAATCCGCTTGTGGGTAAGCCAAGTAGATTATAAAAACACCCTTAACTTGTTAATTGCAAAAAAAAAACACATAAATTTTTAAAATACATAAAAATATTGCTAAAATTTTAAAATACAAAAACCACACCAAAAAATTAGGAATTATAAAGAGCCCGTAAAAATTTAGAATTTGTAAAAAATATCCTAAAATTTTCAAAATTTTCAAAAAATCCTCAAAAATAAAAAATTTATTAAAAAAACACCTTAAATGTAAAATTTTAGGAAAAAACACAAAAATTTCAAACCTACAAACAGTATATATCGAAAATCTATTATGAGCAGCATCGCAAAAATTTGTAATCTATAGAAAATAACCTAAAAGTTTCAAATTGCAAAAAGATCCCAAAAAATTAAAAAAACCCCAAAGATCTAAATATAAAAAACACAAGGATGTATACTTTTTGGGATTTTTTGCAATTGCTGAAATTTATAGGGTCTTTTTTGCATATTATAAATTTTAAGGTGCTGCTCACAATAGATTTTCGGTAATATTGTTTGTAGGTTTGAATTTTTTAGGTGTTTTTTGCTAAATTTACAGTGTATTTTTGGTATTTTAAATTTTTGGGAATGCTTTTATAAAATTTTTAGATTTTTAGGTGTTTTTTGTAATTAAAATAGTTAAGGCAGTTTTTTACAAGCTCAAAAAAATTAGAGGAAAGGGAAATAAAATGGAGGGAGAGAAAGGGGTAAAATGGTTTACAAATTTTTTTAGAGTGGGCCACATAGTTATGTAGTATATTTGGGAGGATGGGTTTAAAAATAAATACACAGTTATTTAGGTTTATAGAAACAAATAAAATAATTTGGGTTTAAAAGTAAATCAGGGTAAATCCTTGGGTCTGAAGGCAAAACTACTATAAATAATGATAGTTGATTAGTTATTTTGATTCAGTAGATACTTCTTTATTGTCCATAAGATACATTATCCAGATTTAATGGTTGTGTTTGACAAAATGCGTGTATTTCTTCTCAAATATTGAAGTTATCTATTTAGTGGATATCATGCTTAGACAATTTAATTTATTCTCATCTGTTTCTGCTTAATATTTCTGTGATATTGATGTTATTTTGAAGAGACCTATACTTTTAATGTATATTTGTATTATGAGTGGTTTTGGACAGTGGCGGACCTATTCATGTTCAAAGTGGTTCACTTGAACCACCTGAAATTTTGCTAAATGAATAGGTATCGTGGCCGTGGTTTTCGGGTTCAACCGTCGGATGTAGCCGCCAACCTCGGTCCTTTCGATATACTGAGGGTGATCTGAGCCGTCGAATTTGATCGTGGCCACGTCTTCTGTCCGTTAGGGTTTTCGCTTTTCGAGGGCAGTCGTGGCCACGTGGACAACTCCGCCCTTCTAATTCAGCCATTTTCCTCCATTGGGAGTTATCGTGCTCTCAAATCTTGAAAGGAACATCCCAGGAAAGAATTCCCGCTTCATCCTACAATGGCTCCGAAATCTAAGAGATGCAAAGTGAGAGGTGCGGGCCCCGGACGTTATTCCGACCGTCTCTCCGCTGGTATGCCTGCCGGTGCTCTGGAGCCGCGCCCAGGTATGTTGATGGGTTCGTTTGGGCGATCTTTTGTAAGTCTTAGGCGTCGGACTTTAGGGAGATGAGTGTTACTCATTTCCCCGATTTGGGGCAAAGTTTGCCCTAGTTTGCCTTTAGAGGAGGGGTACCGTCCCTGTAGGTGAATCCTTCAGTGGGGAGGAGGCGAACTTCCTTTTCGTAAGGCGAGTTCGGCCCTTTCCCATTGGAGGGGATATCGTTTGAACAAAAAAATTAACACATATTTTGAACCACCACTAAAAAGGCTCTAGATCCGCCACTGGTTTTGGATGTATATACAAAAACATATTACCTAGTATTTACAGATCAATTTATATTTTTGGTTCTATAACTATTTTGCCTACCAAGTCACACCTGTGTGTGGAATGTGACATCGATGAAGCTCATTATTCGATGTTTCAGTTTGTCTCGGAGGAACGAAGATGTATGAAGACCTAAAGTTTTTGGGGGACGGTATGAAAGGTGCCATTGTCGAATATGTGTTCAAGTGCCTCACATATGAACAAGTGAAGGCAGAGCACCAAAAGACTACTACTGGCCTATTGCAACTTTTAGGAATACCAAAATGGAAGCGGGAGCACACTCCTATAGATATTGTGACAACTTTTCTTAGGAGCCAGAAGTGTAATAGTATGGTTTGGGTGATCATTGATCAATATACTTAGAGCACTCATTTTATATCTTTTCGAGTTGGGCAAACTACTGAATGGTTAGCAGAGTTTTTATATACAAGAATTAGTACAACTTCATGGGGTACCAATTTTTATTGCTTCAGATCAAGACACACAATTTGTCTCTCAGTTTTGATAAAATTTACAAGAGAGGTCAGGCACTAGATTAAAATTTAGCACCACTTATCATCTACAAACCAATGGATAATGAAGTGACTATTCAGATATTGGAGGACATGCTTTGAGCATGCATGTTAGACTTTAGAGGTTCATGGAAAGATTACTTACATCTTATAGTATTTTCTTACAATAACAGTCACAAATCTAGCATTAAGATGACCTCATTTGAGGCATTGTATGGGAGGAAATGCGGATCACTGTTATGTTAGGATGGAGTAGGAAAGAAGAAATTATTAGGTCCTAAGCTCATCTAATTATTTAAGGAGAAGATTAAAGTAGACTGCAAGCATCCTAAGACAGCTCAGGAGAGATGTCGCAAATGGGTAGATATAGGTAGAAGACTTTTAGAATTCAAAGTCTGAGATCATGTGTTTCTCAGGATTCTACTGACTCATAGAGTTAATCATTTTGGTACTCATGGAAAGTTGAGTACGTTGTATATCAAACTGTTTGATAGAATAGAACAAGTAGGCAATGTAGCATACAGGTTAGAATTTCTGCCATCATTGCAAGGTGTGCATAATGTGATCCACATGTTGCGGCTAAGGAAGTATGTAGCTAATGAGAGTCACATTTTAGATCATTCGAAGCTGACAAACAAAGTGAACTTATCTTAAACTCAATATCTGACTTCAATCGTTGATCGCAGGGTGAACCACCTAAAGAACAATGTCATTCCTTTAGTGCTTTTGCAATAGAATCTGCACTTACCCAATGAAGTTGCTTGGGAGTGAGAGATTCAATAGCAGATAATTACCAAATTTGTTAGACGTACACATCTACCTTGTTTAGAATTTTCAAGGATGAAATTTATTATAAGAAGACAGGACGTAAGGCCCCGGATTTTTTTACTAAATTATATATTTAATTGAGGGGATTACAAAATTGTATAATTATTTCTACTCGATGTGATGAAATTCTATAAAGTATAACTTTATTAGACCAATATTCATGTTAAATCATGAAATGGACCTCATATTAAAGGAACTTTTTACATATAACCTAAGGGTTACAAGAGTAAAAGAAATAATATTTGAAAATAGGTCAAGTGCCTACAAATACCCCTTAAACTTAGGGTTTCATTTCTTTTTTTAAAACACAATCTTGGGAGCAAGAGTTGTACGGGAGAAGTAGGCTAGAGATAGGAGATTCAGCAAGAGAAAATGATTTTTTAAATTTAGACAAGGGTTTTCTTGACTTTGTTCATAATATATGGGGTTATTCATGATCTAACACTCGATGATTTTCCTTTGAAATCTGATACAAACCCTAGAAAATTCATGTTAATCTTATTAGGTTTCGTAAATGATGTTTTCCTGATGTATTATGTAAATTATCATTACATTTAATAAGGTTTACCTATACACAGATCGAAAGAATTAGAAGACATGCACAAAACCTATACGAAACCCTAGTTCTTCATTTTTCTTTGTTGCTTATCTTAAAAAATATGTAAAAACATGGTGTTTTAGTCCATTTAACAATTCCAAGAAGTTACAATGTGACTGGAGGTAAAATGATGAAGAAAAAAGTCATAGCAGATCAATCGTGCAGGACCAGCAATGCATCAGCGACATGACAACATCAGATGTCTGAAGCAAATTCAGACATCTGGTTGTCTGATAGTAGATGTCTAATTCATAATCAGATGTCTCGTCCAGTAAGTTAGATGTCTTATTGGTGTTTGATAGAAATATATTTTTGATTTGTTTCTCAGAGACATTTGGATCCTTTAGGGGAGGCGTCTGGTTGTAAGTTAAGACATCTGGGTGTTAGCCATCTAATTTGTTTGTTTTATATTGTTTATCCATTAATTTATAGTAAGTCTATTTAGACTATTAATCTATTTTTAATCTTTGTTTAAAAGAGAATTATAAGTAATTGATGATGTAGGAGTAGTTCCATGAGATACATACATAATATATGGAGTGTTTCAATCACTAGGATAACTCGGTACATATTAAATGAATGTAGAACTCACCA